AGCCTGGCCCACATGCTGAAACCTCGTCTCTAGTAAAAATTCAAAAATTAGTCTGGCACGGCAGCCCATGACTGTAATGCCAGCTACTCAGGAGGCTGAGGCAGGAGAATCGCTTGAACCCAGGAGGTAGAGGTTGCAGTGAGTCAAGATTGTGCCACTGCACTCCAGCCTGGGCAACAGAGCAAGACTCCATCTGAAAAAATAATAATTTTTAATTGTATGGATAAAGCAAATGTACTTTTCTTTAAAAATTACCATTCTTATTGAGTTTGATGTGGTTTACTTTCTTTGTATTTTTTAATGTATAAATACCTATAGAATATATATTATTGGGGTTTTTTTGAGGCGAGGACTTTTTTGTTTGAGACAGAGTCTCGCTCTGTTGCCCAGGCTGGAATGCAGTGGCATACTCTCAGCTCACTGCAACCTCCACCTCCTGGGTTCAAGCAATTCTCATGCCTCAGCCTCCCGAATAGCTGGGATTACAGGCACGTGCCATCTTACCCAGCTAATTTTTGTGTTTTTAGTAGAGATGGGATTTCACCATATTCTCTAACTCCTGACTTCAAGTGACCCACCAAATTGGCTTCCCACAATGCAAGGATTGCAGGTGTGAGCCACTGCGCCCAGCCAAAGGTTGACATTTTTTTTTAGACGGAATCTCACTCTGTCACCAGGCTAGAATGCAGTGGCGTGATCTCAGCTCACTGCAGCCTCTGCCTCCCAGGTTCAAGCAGTTCTTTTGCCTCAGCCTCCTGAGTAGCTGGGATTATAGACGTGCCCCACCATGCCCAGCTAATTTTTGTATTTTTAGTAGGGATGGGGTTTTACCATGTTGGTCAGGCTGCTCTGTAACTCCTGACCTTGTGATCCGCCCACCTTGGCCTCCCTAAGTGCTGGGATTACAGGTGTCACCATACCCAGCCAAGGAGGACATTTTAAAATAAATGTTATACTACATAACATCCTGCCTTTCACTCTATAGTATTAGTAAATATAGATAACTCTCTTCAATCCTAGTATTAGAAGATCCTTAAGTTGTTAGCAATCTGATAGGTGAAATATAAATAACTCATTGTTTTATTTTGTATTTCTAAGGCTACTAGTGGAATTAAGCATCTTTTTGTATGTTAATTGGCCATTTATATTAATATTAAGAAAATTATTTCTCATATTATAGTACAGAAAATTTAAATTTTGGTGTAATCAATACAGCTGACCCTCAAACAATGTGGGGGTTGGGGTGCAGCCCTCACCAGCAGTCAAAAATCTACATACAAGTTTTGACTCCTCCAAAACTTAATAGCCTACTGTTGACCAGAAGCTTTATGGATAACCTAAATAGTAGATGAATACATGTCTTATGTATGCCTTATATACTGTATCCTACATAAAGTAAGCTAGAGAAAAGGAAATGTTATTAAGAAAATCATCAGGTAAAGAAAACATTCAGTATTAAGTGGAAGTAGATCATAAAGGTCTTCATCCTTGTTATCTTCACGTTGAGTAGGCTGAGGAGGAGGAATTGAAGGGGTTGGTTTTGCTGTCTCAAGTGACCCACCAAATTGGCTTCCCACAATGCAAGGATTGCAGGTGTGAGCCACTGTGGCAGAGGCAGAAGAGGGAGAGGAGATGGAAGGGAAGGCAGGAGAGGCAGGCACACCAGTGTAACTTTTGAAAAAATCTACATGTATACGATCTGGTGGGCTATTATAAAAATTTTTTAAATCTGTATTTAAGTAATGTAAGTGGACCTGCACCATTCAAACCTGTGTTGTTTGAGGGTCAGCTGTATGTCAGCCTGTTCCTTTTTTGGTTTTTGTTTTTTGTAACTTGTTTAAAACAGCTTCTTTACCTCTTATTCATAAACATAATCTCCTGTCTTCTCATGATACTTTTATAGTTTTTTTATATTTACTCCTTCAATACATCCTAAAATTACTTTTGTGAATGATTTGAGTATAGAGATGTAACTTTTTTCCTAAAAAGCTAATTGCCCCAATTTATTAATAGTTCATCCTTTCCCACTGATTTGAAAGGCCAACTTTATTATATGTGAAATTTCCAAACATGAATATACATATACTCATACACAAGCATATGTGCCAGGCATACATATACATATATGTTGGAATTTAGTATAAAGACTGGCCACTGTTCTCTCCCATTAGTGTATTTATCTCCCATGTGAACACTACACTGTTTGATAACTAACAGTACAGGTCCCTCCATCTGTGTTTCTCTTTCAGAATTGGCTGGTCATTTTTGTACATTTATTCTTCTATATTAACACTTCATTTTTTTAGATGTTTAAGAAGATAAGGGAAATTTTTTTCATCATTGGGGGATATTCAAAAAGATAAAGACTTTGAGAACAGCTTCAAAAAAGGGATCTCAAAAATATTTTTAGAAGTGGAATATATAACCAGATAATACTTTTGAAGGGAAGTATATATCTGTTTAGTTTTGGGGGTTTTTTTTATGGTTCATTAGTTACATCACCTTATTTTGTAATGCGTTAGCCATCGTTCAATTTCATACATTTTTTTTTTACCTGTTTTGATGGATACTGTATATATAAACCCTTTGTACATCTTTAAGTAATTCATTAAAATGTTGAACACAAAAGATGAAGATAGAGACTTTTGACACACTCGAAAATAATTCTCTGTAAGAGATAATGATTTTGATTTTGATCAACTGGTTCTGAGTCTACAAAAGTCTACACTTATCCCTGAGAGGAGGTTCCATCAAATACTGTGTTATAATTTACATTACACTGTGTCCTCAGGAACCCCAAGTTCCCAACAAGGAAATGAAAATATATTCAGCATGTCCTGCATTATCCCTGCATTCTTATAGAAAATGTTTTGAATGGTCCAATGGTTTTAACTTCACAAAAACTGAGGTTTACAAAGAGGTAGCAATTCAGGAAGCACCAATTAGGTAAACTAAAAGTAGGATGTCCTGGATATGATTCCAGGTCTACATGGAACTTATCCCTTCCCTGCTCCCATTGTGGCATTCCCTTCCCTTTTGCTCTTTTACTGCTTCAGATCCATAGTGGCAGAGGAGTTCTAACTGATGCAAACTGGCTTCAGATCCCACAAGCTTACTACTTACTGGCTATAGTACATGGGCCTTATATGTAAAGTGGAGACAATAAACAGTAATATCCTTTTCATGTGGTTATTGTGAGGATTCAAGGAAATCCTTTGAAAACACTTAGAATATTAGCCAGGTGTAGTGGCACATGCCTGTAGACCAAGCTACTTGGGAGGCTGAGACAGGAGGATCCCTTGAGTCCAGTAGTTTGAGGCTGCACTGAGTTATGATTGTGCTACTACAGTCCTGCCTGGGCAACAGAGTGAGACCCTGCTCTAAAAAACAAAACAGGCCAGGCATGGTGGCTCACGCCTGTAATCCCAGCACTTAGAGAGGCCAAGGCAAGCGCATCATTGAGATCAGGAGTTCGAGACCAGCCTGGCCAACATGGTGAAACCCTGTCTCCACTCAAAATACAAAAATTATCCAGGTGTGGTGGTGCACACCTGTAGTCCTGCTATTTGGGAGGCTGAGGCAAAAGGATCGCTTGATCCTAGGAGACGGAGGTTGTAGTGAGTGGAGATCACGCCATTGCGCTCCAGCTTGGGTGATGGGAATGAAACCTTGTCTCAAAAAAAAAAAAAAAAAGAAAACTTAGAATAAGCTCGGCGTGATGACACATGCCTATAATCTAAGCTACTTGGGAGGCTGAGGCAGGAGGATTGCTTCAGGCCATAAGTTCAAGTCTAGCTTGGGCAACATAGCAAGATGCCATCTCAAAAACAACCACAAAACCACACTTAGTGTATGGCACATTAGTCAGCTCTACTTAGTACATCTGTTTTTGTCATCATTAAGTAATCAACACATCTTTAATAGTATGTGCTATTAAACAAATCATTTAACTTTTCTATGCCTCAGTTTTCTCTGTAAAATGGCTCAGCTTAACTAGATGGTCTCTGAGTTTTCTGTTAGCTCAGTCCGTAATTCTGTTATTTGGGACCTATATAAGTAGTTCATCCCTAGGTCTAGGAAACTTTATTTTTCCCTACCTATACTTACTAGAAGGAGCAGTTTTGCTTCCTCAGTACATGACAATGTGCTTTCTCAGAAATCCTCTGGAAAAAAAATGTGGGAATGAAACCTCTAGTCAATTATCCTTGACTAGAGAGGTTTCTTTGCCAGCATTTTTAGCAGGAATGAAATGGAGGGTATAATTTATTGGAAGTACTGTGAAGAGAGAGAAGGAAATGGCATTGAAGTCCATTAACACTTGTTGGTAGAGCACATACATGGAATGATGACACAATAAAAAGTTAATATTCGTTGAGTATTTGCTATGTGGGAGGCACTGTGCTAACATGCACTATCTCATTTAATCTTTGCAACAACCCCACAAGGTAGATAATCTTATTATCCCAATTTTGCTGTTGAGGACCTCAAGGCACAGAAAGATTAAGGAACTTGCTTAACATCACACAGCTAGGTGGTGATAGAGGTGGAATTTGAATATATATCATCTGATTGTAACACTCCTGCTCTTAAACAATTATGCTATACTGAACTGATTCCAGGTACAGCATCAATTGGTTTAAAAAACTAGAATGTTTCAAATGAGGACATATAGTTTAACAACTAACAATCCTATGAAAAAGTTGAAAGACTAATATAACGAACATTGCATACATATTTATCAATTAACATTTTGCTTCATTTAATTTATCTCCATGTAAGATCTGCTTTTCAGAAAAGCAAATGGCAGACATGATGCTCCAATGAACAAGGGCAATCTCCTAAATAACAATGCCATTATCACAAACAAGAACTATAACAATTAGAACAGACATTTAATAACCTTTAGTTTGCTTTTTAGATAAGTCAAATCTCCTTTTAGATCATTGAAATTGCATTGCTAAAAAACAAACTCTTACCAAGATCTGATTTTTTTTTCTCAGAAATCATATTCCATGCCCATCAGCATTGAATTTCAGCGGAGATATGCAACTATTGTTTTAGAGCTTGAACAGCTGAACAAGGACCTAAATAAAGTTTTGCATAAAGTTCAACAGTATTGCTATGAGGTAAGTGATATGTATAGATTTCCCTCTGTATTTTTCTCTGAACCTTAATACTTTTACCTTCACACTTTAGAAAATCCATACCAAGCCAGGTGTGGTGACTCACGCCTGTAATCTCAGCATTTTGGAAGGCCGAGGTGGGCAGATCATGAGGTCAGGAGTTCAAGACCAGACTGACCAACATGGTGAAACCCTGTCTCAACTGAAAGTACAAAAATCAGCTGGGCGTGGTGGTGTGCGCCTGTAATCCCAGCTGCTCAGGAGGCTGAGTCAGGAAAATTGCTTGAACGTGGAAGGCGGAGATTGTTGCAGTGAGCCAAGATTACACCACTGCACTCCAGCCTAGGTGACAGAGCGAGACTCTGTCTCAAAAAAAAAAAAGAAAAGAAAAAGAAAATCTATACCAAGCCAGTATCTTTATAAAGTCCTTTAGCAGAACTGTGTTATATAAAGTTTCTTATTCCTCCCAGCATCAGTGTTGAAGACTACTTTATACACAGAAAGCTGTCAGTTCTGAGTTTTTTCGTTCAAGTTACAAATGATAAAGCTCTCCAAAAAAATTTGTAAAAATCCAGAAAACTAATTACTCTGAATTCCACTACCCCAGAGACCAAATTTTGTTGTTGCTTCTTTTTTCTTTTTTTTCTTTTTTTTTTTTTTTTGAGACAGGGTCTTGCTCTGTTGACCAGGCTGGAGTACAGTGGTACAGTCTTGCAATCTTGGTTAACTACAGCCTCAACTTCCCAGGCTCAAACTATCCTCCTACCTCAGCCTCCTGAGTAGCTAGAACTACAGGTGCATGACATGCTTTTTTGTTTATTTTTGTAGAGGTGAAGTCTCACTATGTTGTCCAGGTTGGTCTCAAACTCATGGGCTCAAGCGATCCTCCCACCTTGGCCTTCCAAAGTACTGAGATCATAGGCCTAAGCCACTGTGCCCAGCCCCAGAGACCAAATTTTTGTTTGTTTCTCCCTAGTCGTGTGTGTGTGTGTGTGTGTGTGTGTGTGTGTGTGTGTATGAAACAATGCATGCTTTTTCTCATACAGTTCTGATTGTGCTGGCTATATAATTTTGTTGCCTTCTCTTTTAAACTTTAAATTAGCATTAGAACTATGGATTCTCGAATTTCAAATACATAGATCACAAGGTTATTTGTGAATTTTCATTCCCATGTGATTATATATATGAAAGTGATTCAACAGTTTCATCTAAAATTTGAGTTTCTTACTACAGGTTAAGAATTAAAATGATTCAGGTGAGTTTAGGATGCTCCTGCATTTGCACACTTTGGGGTTGTGTGTTTCCAGGAAAGCCACCTCTACTTGTGATGTCAGATTCTTTTTTTTTTTTTTGAGACGGAGCCTTACTCTGTTGCCCAGGTTGGAGTGCAATGGTGCAATCTCGGCTCACTGGAACCTCCGTCTCCCGGGTTCAAGCAGTTCTCCTGCCTCAGCCTCCCAGTAGCTGGGACTACAGGTGCGCACCACCAAGCCCAGCGAATATTTTGTATTTTTACAATAAAAACACAAAACCTGAAGTCTCAAACTCCTGACCTCAGGTTATCTGCCAGGCTGGTCTCAAAACCCTGACCTCAGGTGATCCGCCCTCCTCGGCCTCCCAAAGTGCTGTAAAGGCATGAGCCACTGCACCTGGCTGTGATAACAGATTTTTAAACAGTTGGCTTATCTTCCTGATAGTCTTCAGTCATCCACCTAACAATATGCATTGTATTAGTAATAGATTTTCTCCCCTGGACTAGCAACTATTCACAAGACATGCAGACTATGCAGTCCAGGATGACACATAACAGGATGGTACATGCAGAAACGGATTGCTCATCAAACTTTTTGTAGTAGCCAAGGCCATTTGTGATAGGCTCCTTTCCTAATGAATTAAAGTGATTTAATCTTCTCAAAGCTCTTATGGAACTATAATATACATTTAAAAAATAACATATCGGCCGGGTGCAGTGGCTCATGCCTATATGCCAGCACTTTGGGAGGCCAAGGTGGGCAGATCACCTGAGGTCAGGAGTTCGAGACTAGCCTGGCCAACATGGTGAAACCCCATCTCTAAAAAAATAATAAGAATATATCTGAGAGGACACTATGACTAAGGAATTCTACTCAATATATACCAAAAAGATATGTCAACATGTATTTACCAAAATACATATACTAGAATGATCATAGCATCATTGTTCATTATAGCCAGAAATCAGAAACTACCCAAATACCCGTTAGTACTACAATGGACCAATAAACATGGTATAATTACAGTTACGCAGTGGAAATACTACTCAGCAATGAGAATGAATGAACTTGACTACAACTCAGTGCCATGGATGGATCTCACAAATACAATGTTGAATAAATAAAGTCAGACACAAGAGAATATATAATGTATGATTCTGTTTTTATAAAGCTCAAAAGGTAATCTATGATGTTAGAAGCCAGGGTGGTGCTTACCCTGAGGGAGGTAGTACTGGAAGATGGCATTATTGAAGTATCTGGGACTTCGGTAATATTCCAGTTCTTAATCTAGTTGCTGACTTCTCAGGCATGCTTGATTTGTGACACTTCATTAATCTGTACACTTTATGATTTGCATACTTTTACGTATTTATGTATGCCTCAATTAAAATTTTAGTAAAGTATTAGAGGATACAGTTATTCACTGAAGCATTATTGGGAATTATAAAATATTAGAAAAAAACATACATGCCCACACATAGGAAACTAAATTATTTATGGTACATCCACACAATAGAGTACTAAGCTGCTGTAAGAGAGGAAGCTCTCTACTTACTGATATGGAGTGATTTCCAGGATATATTATTAGGTGCAAAAAGCAAATACAAAAAATACACATACATATTCTTAAGTATATTACCTTTGGAGTAGGAAATAAGTGGAAATACAATATATATGTATCAACTTAATTTTTTCAAAAGGAAACACAGAAAGGATACACCAGAAACTAATTTGGAACTGGGGTAAGAGTTGGTAAGGAGTGACATTTTTCTGAGTGTTTTTTTCCCCAACAAATACAAGTAAACTCTAAAGTGGAAAACAAACAGAAATAAATGAACCTAACTATATTTCAAAGGAGTGATGTAAACTTGCTATCACTGAAGGGGATAAAAACTGATTTGGATAGCTTGAACGTAGCATAGGTTGAGCATCCCAAGTCTGAAATGCTACAAAATCCAAATTTTTTTTGAGTGCCAAAGTGAATGAAACTCAAAGGAAATGCATTTCAAGCATTTCAGATTTTGGAGTTTTCTATTTGGGGTTCTCAACCAGTAAGTATAATACAAATATTCTAAAATTTGAAAAAACCCTAAATCCAAAACAATTCTGGTCCTAAGCATTTTGGATAAGGAATACTCAACCTGTATTTTGAATTTTGACTGTATACCCTTAGTCTAAACCAAAGTTTAAATAAACACTGAATTTTAGTTAGTAGAATTTTTTCTCTTGGTGACATCCATAACAGTTCTGAAACTCTTACTGTGTACTCTAGGACTGAGCAAATGAGCAAATAAGTATATTGATCCTGGGCACAGTGGCTCACGCCTGTAATCCCAGCACTTTGGGAGGCTGAGTCAGATGGATCACCTGAGGTCAGGAGTTCGAAACCAGTCTGGCCAACATAGTGAAACCCCATCTCTACTAAAAATACAAAAATTAGCCAGGTGTGGTGGCGGGCACCTGTAATTCCAGCTATTCAGGAGGCTGAGGCAGGAGAATCGCTTGAACCTGGGAGGCAGAGGTTGCAGTGAGCCGAGGTCGCACCATTCCACTCCAGCCTGGGTGACAGAGTGAGACTGCCTCAAAAAAAAAAAAAAAAAAAAAAAAAAAAATATATATATATATATATATATGTATGTATTGTGGATAACAGCAGCCACGTTTCTCACTGTTGAAGAAGGCAGTTATGAAGAGGGGGGAGACTAGAATGAAACTGTGGCATTAGATTGGAATGGGGGAATCACTATTAATTCGTGATTTATTTTATCTTTATAAAATAGGTATAAGTCAGTGTATACGTCTGCTGAGAAAGCTAAAAGCAATTACACCCTAATAGCAAAGAATGCACCTAGACCCAGACCTGGGGCAGAGAAAGAAGATAAGCCTGGCCCACCTTATTATGCCAAGGAAGTAAAATGTGCCCCCAAATTATGGGGACATGTCAAAAAGAGCCAGCTTGACAGGGTTCCCACTGGCCAAATCTGGGACAATTTGACAATTTGAGCTTCAGAATAAATATAGTAAGAGATTATAACCCATAGAATAAAGTTAACATCGGTATGGGTTCATACTAACATTAATGCATTTTTTAAGGGAAACTACTTTGTAGTAAAATTCCACGTAATAAATAGAGAAGCAGTGTTAAGAATGAGAAAAACACTGTTTTACAACCATCATAGTTATGATTGATACAGACAAGAATTATCAACAGATGCTAAAATCGGTAGGTAAAAGTTTGATGACAAATAGGATGTTTACATAGCCTCGAGTTATCTCTTCACAACTACTTAGTACTTACAAAAAAGAAATCCTTTACTGTAGGAAAATCTGGCAGACACTTAACTACTTAACCAAGTGACCAAAGATAACATCACCAGTAATGGGACAGGTCAATACCAGGTGCCTTCTAATGAAGATGTCAAAGCACTCAGCATCACTTTTGCAGTATTTCTGCCAAAAAATGTGTGACTTCAGTCTAATCATAAAAAAACAAGACAAACCTACGTTGAGGGATATTACACAAAATAATTGGCTCCTACTCTTAAAAAATATCAAAGAAATACAAATCAGTGATTAGAGGTAATAAGGCACAATGTCTCTAACTTAAATTACTAAGGGAAAAAATTACACATTCACAGAGAGATCAAATGGCAGATCAAAGGTAGTAAAACATAAACAGTGAATCTAAGTAAATGTTATCAAGAGTTCTTGTTTTCTTTTAACTTTCTTTAAAAGTTTGAAATTGTATCAAAATTAAAAGTTACAACAAATAGAAACAAATTAGAAACTGGTAAAGGAAAAAACCTTCAAAAGTAAGAGTACCACTTAGTTTTAAATGCTAGTTTTATAAAAATTAAAATCTGAAAAGAGGGCACAAACACATACAGAAATAATCATGGCTTCTCGAACATGCATCTCATGGTTCAATCATCTGTATTCAGCTTGCTCCAGACCAGGGGCTGCAGCCAGCAGATCAGCCGACAGATATGAGACGCAGGTGTGAGGAAGAAGCACAGGAAATTGTTCGGCATGCAAATTCCTCAACAGGACAGCCCTGTGTTGAAAATGAAAATCTGACAGACTTAATCTCCAGGCTTACAGCTATTTTGTTACAAATTAAGGTAAATTAGAGAAAATATTTTCTTAATTTGACATAAAGCAACCCATGCTGATTTGTTGCTAAGAAATTAATTCATTGATTATATCAGGTATTCTATATTTGAGCTATAATTCAATTACGTTTTGAAATTTTTTTCCCTTTAGTGTCTAGCTGAAGGAGGAGACCTGAATTCCTTTGAATTCAAATCACTTACAGACTCATTAAATGATATCAAGAGTACAATAGATGCTTCTAATATCAGGTAATTCGTTAGGTACCCTCTAATCTTTTTAATGTGAAGTTCGTAGTGATTTTCAGTATAAGTTTTAAGAATTATGCATATTTGTGAAGTACTCATATGTTATTCTCCATTAAATATATTTTTAAGAGCTTTTCACTTATATCCAGTCTGTTGACAGAATAGAAATTTCACATAGATTTTGTATATAAAGAAATTAGGAGGTATATTTAGGTTTGGGGTTAGCATGGAGGTTCAGCTTAGAAGTTGAGCTTCCCTAGTCAGTGAGAGGCTCATCCTCTCCTTCCAGCTCCCCATGGCTCCTTTGCTTCTTTAGAGTATATTTGTTCAATTACTACTGAAGTAGAATTATGGCTAATGTAGTAGAGGAGATATATTCCTTCTCTAAGATTTATCATAGCTGTTTTCTAACTAAAATTCAGCTCTCCTTTTTAAAAACTTTTTTTCTTAATTTTTTTAAATAAAGTTGTTAACGATGTTTGTTCTTTCTTTAGCTGCTTTCAGAATAATGTAGAAATCCATGTTGCACATATTCAGAGTGGCCTGAGCCAGATGGGAAACTTACATGCCTTTGCAGCAAATAACACCAACAGAGACTGAGGAGAAGATTTCATTATTCCAACTGCACAGGACATTGTTCTTTTCCTTTATATAGGCTTCCAACACCAAATAACCTAACTGCTGGAAAACAAGGGAAATTTAAATCTCCAAATAAGGCATTTTAATAGACTGTATTGCTTCTTAAACCAGCATTGCTGACCAGCATTATATTTATTTTTCTTTTATTATTCAAATGCAGTAGCATTGCTTATGTTACATATGTTTATATTAGCAAATATTTTTAATGAAAATATCTGAACATAATATAATTTCATTGAAGAATGCATTGACCATTTTTTTTAACGTGCATGAATTCACCGCAACACATGGAGACAACTCAGACAACTGCTGCCATGGAGAGTCGGAAGAAACCTGGTCTTTTTGTTCATGTCGGTGGCAATGTGGAAATTCCATCCAGAAAATTACAACTCCACTTGATTCAGTTAATCACCATCTCAGTCTTCAAAAGATAACATCATGAAGTGTGGGAAGTCCTAGTTTTAAGGAAAGCCACTGAAATATAGATGGGAAATACGGACTTTACAGGTATATGTGATATATACTTGCAATGTGACATGGTTCTATAGATCATTTTATAATAATAAATATTTAAATTTATCATAACTTATATAAAAGAAACCTTTGTTTTTTGTCTGTTGAAATAAAATGAAGGAATAGGGAAAAAACATAACTGCAAAATGCTAAATTTCTGCAAATGGATTTGGCATACCTTCCCATCAGTTCAGGTCAAAAGTGCTATTGTTATGAGATTTATTTAAAAAAAAAAAAAAAAGACTGATAACACACTATTTTCATATTTTTTTTTTGTTTATTTGCACAACTTTTAAACCAGATTACTGGTTAAAATCCAACAGTACACAATTTGTAAAGTAAAAAGATTTTATAAGGAAAACAAATATAATAACCAGTGCTGTGAAATGCAGAAGAAAGGTTTGTTTTGATTGTTTTTCTTTTTTAGGAAAATCCCTAAAATGTTAATCTTGTAAAAAGTATGTATTTGGAATTTTCTTTGTTTTAATATAGAATATTATAAAGTCAAAATATAATAAATTGTTTTCAAATTTGGAGTTTAAGATATAGCTGTAGAGGTGATTTTAATTCCTTTAGATGTCTCATCAAATGAGACTTTTTATATGTTAATGTATAATAAAACTGAAACAAGATTATTTTCCATTTGAAATTTTTGTATAGTTTAAAAATGCTTCCGTATTCTTTGTTGGTATTGTGCCACTGCAGAACTTTAGTGCAGAGTTTATATTTAGCTAAACTGTTATGTTAATTAAATGCATAAATCTTCTATTCTTAATATTTGTAATTCTAAATAAATTGATCTATGAAAATTAATATTTCCTATATTTTCGTTTAATTAATTCAAGTTGATATGCATTCCTTCTGTTTAAAAAGTTTTGAAGAATTGTAATTTACATTAAATTACATCTTTAGGGGAAGCAGTACAGATTAATTACCAAGTCACTCTGAAGTACCATCCAATGGTATAGATTTTATTTATTACCATACCGTACCATCCCGTGGTATGGTATTAAGCAAGTAAGTTATTTGGCCTGGTACAGACCTAGTGAAAGGTTGATTTTAATATATTCTACCTAGAATTGGGTATTTTGTGCCTTTTATTTTTATTTATTTATTTTTGAGATAGGGTCTCCCTCTGTCACCCAGGCTGTAGTGCAGTGGTACAATCTAGGCTCACTGCAACCTCCGCCTCCCTAGTTCAAGGGATCCTCCCACCTCAGCCTCCTGAGTAGCTGGGATTACAGGTGCATGCCACCATGCCCAGCTAATTTTTAGTAGAAAGAGTTTCATCATATTGGTCAGGCTGGTCTCCAAGTCCTGACCTCAAGTGATCCACTTAGCCTCCCAAAGTGCTGGGATTACAGGTGTGAACCACCTATCTGGCCTCTCTTACATTTCTTAAGGCTTATTTGTCATGCTGAAATAGTAACTCATTTCACACATATTTAATTGAGCACCGTTTGTTTTTCAGTGCCTTCATGTGTTGACAGAGAAAATGTGCCGAAGACTATAGTTGAACTTTATTTCTGTTTTGGAAGAAATCTAGATTTCAGAGTACTCATGTTGGATCAGCTATAGATTGATTTGAATGATATGCCACTGCTTAACACATTTTTGGAGCTCTAAAGAAAGCTATCAAAGCCAGATTGAGCAAACATGCAAGCACATACATGGCTTTTATTTATATAGATTTGGTTCTGATTTGGTTGCCTTAAGCTAGTTCCAAAAGTCATTTTCACTCTCAGCCATTGAGAATCTACAAAAAGATTTGCCCATTAGCATTTTTGAATCCATGCACCTCTCCATCTTCATTACCACTACTTGCAGCCCAGCTGCCGTCAATAGCCTGGACACTGCAGTTGTCTCCTAACTTACCTCCAGCATCTACTCAGCCCTCTTCAAATGCAGCCAGGGGGGTAATCTTAAAATGCAGAATTGATCATCTTATCCCTCTGTCTATAAATGCCTTTAAAGTCTTCATTTGGCTTTCAGGACAAATTCAAAACTCTTTTACAAGACCTATAAAGCCATACATGGTCTGGTGCCCCCTACTTTTTTATCAGCTTGCTACTCCACAGTCTTCGCATGTACAGGGCCTGCGTTCCCTCTCCTCTCCTTGGTAACTCCTGATCATCCTCCAGATCTCACCTTCAGCATTACTTTCTTAAGGAAGCTTTCCTTGACCACAACACATCTCCTATTACAATGTCTCCAGAGCATGTATCTCTCCTTCCAGCACTTGTCACATTTGCAATTTAATATTAATAATTCTTGGAGATCTATTGTCTCCCTACTGGCCTCTGCTCCATGAGTGGAGGAACTGTTTCTGTTTTTGTTCACATTTTCAGGTCCTGGTAAAGTGCCTCTTCATGGGCAACAAATAAATACTTGTGTAATGAATGGGCAAACGAGAGTTTCAAAAAAGCTCTAAGCAACATTAATGTCATCGGAATAAGAGTATGATCTTCCATGATGATTTTTTTTGAAAGATGAGACAGCAATGACTAGCATGTAGAAATTCTGACTTGGCGGCCGGGCACAGTTGCTCACGCCTGTAATTCTAGCACTTGGGGGGCCAAGGTGGATGGATGGATGGATCACAAGGTCAGGAGTTTGAGACCAGACTGGCCAACATGGCAAAACGCCATCTTTACTAAAAATACAAAAAAAATTTAGCTGGGCATGGTAGTGTGTGCCTGTAATCCCAGCTACTCGGGAGGCTGAGGCAGGAGAATTGCTTGAACCTGGGAGGCAGAGCTTGCAGTGAGCCGAGATCGTGCCATTCATTGTACCCTATCCTGGGCAACAAGAGCAAGACTCCGTCTCAAAAAAAATATATATATAGAAATTGTGACTTGGGGATTGCTTTTAAACCTATCACATTACTTTATCATTATTCCTAACTAAAAAGACCAGTGCAATGTAGGAGGCACTGTAATGGTGGTAGACTAATGAGTGGGCTGAGTTTGAGTCCTGGCCATGCCACTTACAAGCTCTACAATTGTGAACCACTACTTAGATTAAGTTTCTTGATCTTTAAAGTGGGAAGATTAGTCCCTGTCTTACGTGGTAGGTGTGAGGATTAAATAGATAATGTCTGTAACACATTTAGCAGTTAGGACCTCTTAGAGTTTGAGAGAGCTTCAGGCTGCTTCTTAGAAGATCCTGCAATTTAAAATGTGACAACAGGATTTACATAATTGTAGATTTTTACAGTTGTTCACTGAGGAAGCAACATAAGACAATATAAAAGCAATAATACAATAATTACAAGATTTGTTCTTAAGTGTGATTCCTAATGGACCGTAAGTTTAAAGCTGTATATGTCTTTCAGTTTTGTGAATGTATTTGTAGTATCTCATCTGGCCACGTCACAAGTTTAAATGTAAAAGTTCTGTGATTGTGAGACTCCTGAGCACCTGCAGATAAGCCCTAAGCACAAAGTCAACAACTAATGTTAATCAGCTCATTTCTGGTTTCAAACAGTTTTCAAAGAATTGAGAAGTACAGTTGGCTACTAATGCCTCAACTATGTTGTCTTGGCTGCTTTTTACTGGGGGGATGGCAGGTTCAAGGTCTCACTCTGTCATTCAGGTTAAGTGCAGTGGCACGCTCATAGCTCACTGCAGCCTTGAACTCCTGAATTCAGGCAGTCTTCCCACGTCAGCCTCCTGAGTAGTTGGAACCACAGGCACATGCCACCATACCTGGCTTTTTTTTTTTTTTTTTTTTTTTTTTCAGACGGAGTCTTGCTCTGTCACCCAGGCTGGATGGAGGGCTGTGGCCCAGTCTCGGCTCACTGCAACCTCCTGGGTTCAAGCAATTCTCCTGCCTCAGTCTCCCAAGTAGCTGGGACTACAGGTGCCTGTCATCACACTGGGTAATTTTTGTATTTTTAGTAGAGACAGGTTTCACCATGTTGGCCAGACTGGTCTCGAACTTCTGACCTCACGTGATCTACCCACCTCAGCCTCCCAAAGTGCTGGGATTACAGTGTGAACCACCACACCCGGCCTTTTTTTTTTTGGAAATATATATATAGACAGCGTCTTGCTATGTTGCCCAGACTGTTCTCAAACTCCTGGAGTCAGGCAAACCTCCCACTTCAGCCTCCCAAAGTGCTGGAATTACAGGCATGAGCTACTGTGCCCAGCCTCTCGGTTGCTTGCTTGCTTTTTTCCTTAGCTTCCAAGTGCTTGGAAACTCTTAGTTGTTTGTTGTTGTTGCTGCTGCTGTTGTTGTTCAAGATGGAGTCTTGCTCTGTTGCCCAGGCTAGTGTGCAGTGATGCGATCTTGGCTCACTGTGACCTCCACCTTCCAGGTTCAAGCAATTCTCCTGCCTCAGCCTCCTGAGTAGCTGGGATTACAGGCACCCACCACCACACGCAGCTAATTCTTGTATGTGGTGGTGTTTTTTGACACAGTCTTGCTCTATTACCCAGCTCTTAGTTGTTTTAAATGGTGGGTTTTCTACTCTAAAAAGTACAGGCCAGGCACAGTGGCTCACACCTGTTAACCCAGCACTTTGGAAGGCCGAGGCAGGCGAATCACCTGAGGACAGGAGATCAAGACCAGCCTGGCCAACATGGTAAAACCCTGTCTCTACTAAAAATACAAAATTTAGCCAGGCTTGGTGATGGGTCCCTGTAATCCCAGCTACTCGGGAAGCTAAGGCAGGGAGAATTGCTTGAACCCAGGAGGTGGAGGTTGCAGTGAGCTGAGATCATGCCACTACACTCCAGCCTGGGCAACAGAGCAAGACTCTGTCTCAAAAAAAGAAAAAAGAAAAGTACAAACCACTTGAATAACATTTCTATGAAAATGAGGGCATCTGGCATGTATAGTCTCTAGCACATTCAGCATAGTTCGGGCTCTTCTAGTAACCATCTAGACATGAAGTCCTATGAAACCCCGTCTCTACTGAAAATACAGAAATCATCCAGGCATGGCAATGCATGCCTGTAGTCCCAGCTACTCAGGAGACCAAGGCAGGAAAATCACTTGAACCCAGGGGGTGGAGGTTGAAGTGAGCTGAGATTGTGCCACTGCACTCCACCGTGGGTGACAGAGCAAGACTTTGTCTCAAAAAAGATGTTCTGGCCCTGGTAGCTATGGCATCTCATGAGCCTACTATAAAGCACAGTTTACAAAGAAACCTCACCTGTAGTTACCCCATGCACAAACCATTTCCTTTGACTCTAAAGGAGTTTGAAAACTCTCAAAGTATCAAAATATTTTAATCTTAGACTAACTTAGAAACAGTTATTTACATACATTTAGAATTATAAATTGCAAAGAGAAATCTCCCAAGCCAAAATACTTATAAAATATTACTAAACAGTCAAGCAAAAATATGTTTTTAACCAAACTAAATTTCTCAGCTCAGTGGCCTGCTGATAGAATATTGATTATTGGCTAAAAACCATATTTGCAGAAACTTTTAGAAAAGTCTTTCATGGCCACATAGTATGTACTGAGCAATTGTAGAGTGAAGCACTGTACTAGGAGTTATCTAAAATAATTCATTTAAATAGAAATTACGTTGAAACATTTGTGAAAGACATTTAATAATCCACAAAAGCTGCATAGGAAGTCCAATAAGAAGTGCTAAGGGTAATGTTGGAGTGATCGAAGTAACAGCTGCAAAATCAGGATTACTTAGAGACAATTTCAGACTTCAGAAAGGGGGCAGGGGAGTCCTCAAGTGTTTTGAAAGCTAAAGGTATGAATTTGATACAAAACTGAAAGGAGTGACTTTGAGACCAAAGCATATATTGTGAATAGTTGACCTTCAGATTTGCATAGCTGTTCTGCAGGCTAAGGATGATGTCAGTTATCTGGGAGGGTAACTGAAAGCTTTTTATAATTTGGTAGCAACTAGAGGCTACCGCAGAACCACAGAGGTTTTTTTCTTTTTCTTTTTTTCTTTTTTGAGAGAGAGTCTCCCTCTGTCATCCAGCTAGAGTGCAGTGGTGCGATCTCAGATCACTGCAACCTCCACCTCCACCTCCTAGGCTCAAGTGATTCTCCTGCCTCAGCCTCCCAAGTAGCTGGGACTACAGGCGCCCGCCACCACACTCAGCTAATGTTTGTATTTTTAGTAGAGATGGGGTTTTGCCATGTTGGCCAGGCTGGCCTTAAACTCTTAACGTCAGGTAATCTGCCCACTTGGCCTCCCAAAGTGCTGGGATTACAGAAGTGAGCCACTGCACCTGGCCCACGGAGAGTAATTTTTTTTTAAGTAGTTGAGAAGCTAGAGGCAGGGGGACTGTTGAAATAATGCAGTTATTGGAGCTATGATTGAACGTGAAGATGACAGGCTCAATTTTAAAAAGTAATAAACTAGGATGAGGGTTGAAGAGATGGGGTAGAGTGAGTTTAGGGTTATACAGCTTGGAGGGACCGGGAGAAAATGGCAGCTCTCAAGCACAAGGGGAAACTGAGTCAAGCTGAGGCATTCTTGTGAAGAAGATCATGAGTTCTGAACAACCAGTCTAAAAAATAACAGGCCTGGCAAGAAGGCACAGGTCTGCAGACCAAATGCAATGTGCAGACTTGGAGGTAATGAATGCCAGAATTCTGGGGTGGGAGTGTTGGCTTCAAAATTCATTGACAAAGTGGCAGGGGTACCTTCAAATGTGAGAGGTACTGTCAAAACCATCACCAAGGTTAACAAGACCATGTCCTTAGCATGGGTGTCGGAAAGGACAGTATGCTGATGTGTCTCTCCCAGGCTGTCAGTCATGGCTCCTGAGAGCTTATCCTCAATTCTCCCAGAATCCTCAAAAGTTACCAAAGGCAGAAAAGATGTGTTCCTCCCATGAGTCCAGCTTTGAACCAATGTCTTCAGAGAGAGGGGAACAGGTTTCAAAATTCTGACCTTGAGAGCTAGAGTCAGAGATGCCCCCTCCAGCCCCGTTTGGATCAGGCAGGCAGTTCACATCCACCTCAAGAGGCAGCTGAGGCTTCAGACATTTCATTTCAGTTCCAGGAGCAGAGTGGGTGAGGATAATCTCTGGCCTAGACAAAGGTTGGAAGGATTTCCCACTCTGACGCCGAGACTTGGCACGCCTGTTCTGGAACCATACCTGGAAGAGGGGAGGAAAAAAAAACTGCTTTTGGTTGGAGTTTTTATGCTAACATAATGTTCACAGTTCATACTAGTAAGTTGTAGTTTAACATCCCCGGCTTCCTCTCCAAAGCACTTAGGTTGAGGGTTAGAAGCTCAGAGCACCTGGCTTTCTTTGCCTCCCCATTCCCAGATGCAAACATTGGAATAATGCCTCATTCTACATCTTCTTCAGTTAGAAACATTTTCATGAAAAATGGGGGTCACAAAAATAGAAGCACCTAGAATTCTTAGAAAAAAACTGCATTAAATTATTAAGGAAATCAGTTTTTGAAGGTCTGTACTCCCTTGTCAAACTAATCAAGGAGGTATTTTGCTCATGCCAGCTGTTGAGACTGACAGCTGTATGATCACCAGGAATGCAGAGAAAACAAGTCCACTCTTCCAGTGTTTAGATGAGGACTGCTCCTTAAAACTGTGCTTGGACACCGACCAAGCTGCTACAGACAAACAGACAAAAAGGTAGACTTCTCCCTACCAACTCTAAGATTCTAATCTAAATTACTTCAGAATACAAACACGGCCGGGTGCAGTGGCTCACGCCTGTAATCCCAGCACTTTGGGAGGCCCTGGGCTGGTGGATCACCTGAGGTCAGGAGCTCAAGACCAGCCTGACCAACATGGTGAAACCCATCTCTACTAAAAATACAAAAAATATCTGGGCATGGTGTCAGGCGCCTGTAATATCAGCTACTCGGGAGACTGAGGCAGGCGAATCGCTTGAACTGGAGAGGCAGAGGTTGCAGTGAGCCAAGATCTGGCCACTGCACTCCTGCCTGGGCAACAAGAGCAAAACTACGTCTCAAATAAATAAATAAAACACGCCTTGCACTAGATTTTTCAAACTGCCAACAAGCTCTAGGTGCTTCTCACTTTACCTCAAGATGCTACATCCTTTCAAATCCAAGTCCCAGAACGCAACACTTGCTAAGAAAGCAGCATAAGGGGGTAACTTGCCGAGCCAGCCCTGCCCGCTCTCAGCTACCATTCTCGCACTCAAAGCCAGACGAAAACCCCAACTGCCCCTCATCTGTGTCTTCTTCCTGGATAAGGAAAAAGTGTAAAACTTTTCATCTTCCCGCTGGGAATTACTTTCTGGCCATTTCAAGGGACCAGCTAGCCTCCTAGAAGCCCTTATTATATTTAACTATGAGAGTTAGAAATCGTTCATTGCAGGCCTGAATTATTTCACATAAGCCTCACAATCACCCTGTGTAGCAGGTGCCGACATCACCCCTATTTCAATCTAGGACACAGAGGCTCAGGGGAAGCACCTTGCCTGCAACGTCCCGGGGGTGTGGCCTCAGGAGCCTGGAGTTGCGACTCCGCAACGCCTTCGCTCCAGCGCGCACCTGCGAACGCGGCGGGCCCTCACCTGGATCCTGGACTCGGGGAGCAGGGTGAGCGCGGCCAGGCGCTCGCGCAGGTGGATGTCGGGGTACCGGGTCCGGCGAAAGACGAGCTCCAGCAGCTGCAGCTGCTCGGCGCTGAATGACGTGCGCTTGCGGCGCTGCGACGCCGACTGGGCGGCCGCGCCTTTGGGGGGCGCAGGCGAGCCCAGGCCGGCTGGGGGCGGCGGGGCCAGTCCGGGGTCCTGGCCCAGGAAGCCCGCGAAGGGCGCCGAACCGGGGTCGGGGCTGGGTCCCGGGGGGGGCGCAGGGAGCAGTGCGGCCGCGGGGCTCGGGGGTGGCAGGAGCGCCCCGCTGGCGTAGGGGGCTCGGTACGCGGGGAACGCAGCGCCCTCGGCAAACGGGTACGCACGGGACTCAGCTGCGGCCATCGCTCCGGAGCCCAGCGCGCCGCCCGGAGGGGCGCTGGCCCCACTTATACCCGCCCGGGCGGGGGCGGGGCGGCGGCGCGGCGCGATCAAAGGTGGGCGCGGGGAGGCCCGTGTCTCCCCGGGGTGCGAGCCCGCCCGGCCCTGCCAGACGCTGGGGAATAATCGCTTCCGCCGGCCTCGGGATGCAGGAGGGAGGCGTGAAGTTGGGTCCCGGCCCCCTCCGTGTTCTTCCCCGCCCACCCGCCCCGCCGGCTCAATACACATCCCCGAAAGACTGTTTGCCCTGGAGGGGCAGCCCCGATGAACCCGTGTGTGCCGGCCGCTGGCTGCAGAACTACCTCCTCTGGGTCGGATCCCCAATCAGAGCAGGGGAAGGGCCTTGCCCGGCCTGTGCCTCACATGGCCCGCATTGCCCCTTGCCTTGGTCCCGCCTGTCCTCATCAAAGCTATTTATTTACCACCCCTGCTATGTGCTAGACCCTGTACCAGGTTGGTCAAACAGCCTGGCCCCTGAGTTCTGCAAGCCTCCCTAACACATCCTGAATCCAAGGGTGGGGGGTGAAGATAAAGGGATCCACCTCGATGGGGGAGCACATTGCTCCTGATTAAATGGGTTGTGGAGGGGGGAGGGTGTTCTGGCTGGAACGTACCTGTGCCCACCAATAAGGATTCCCTAGGTAGGGCGGGGTTGGCAACATGCCGCGTTAGCAGAGGAGACGCGCAATTTGGCCTTTCTGGAGACACTTAATGCTCAAGACCCGTCTATTGGATGGGTGGAGATGAAAGCCACCTTATGAAGTTCCCACACGCTCTGAATCATCATTCTTTCCTCCACCCCCTGGGGCTCTCTGAAAGCTCCCATTTCTTACTTTGTGCTATGGTATGGTTTCTCTATCTGCTCTCCCTGCTAGATTACAAAGTCTTAGCAAGCAGGAACCCACTTCTCCCTTTCTGAGTTTACTGAGTGTCTACTTTGTACACCTATTCTGCTTGAGGCCTGGTGTGAGGCCTTTAGTGAATGTCTGTCGAATTGGATGTCACTGAGTCCTCCTTGTTGAAAGAGAATGGTCCACCATGGGAACTGCCCCACCACAGTGCAAGAGCTCAGGAGAGGAGCATAGACGCCCAAGTCTCCTTGCTCTCAGCACCTGAGCACTGATTTCACCCGATCACTCCCTGTGGCTGACTGGATCTCTTTATTGAGAGGTTCTTTTTTTTTTTTTTTTTTGAGTCAGAGTTTCACTCTTGTTACCCAGGCTGGAGTGCAATGGCGCGATCTCGGCTCACCGCAACCTCCGCCTCCTGGGTTCAGGCAATTCTCCTGCCTCAACCTCCTGAGTAGCTGGGATTACAGGCACGCGCCACCATGCCCAGCTGATTTTTTGTATTTTTTAGTAGAGACGGGGTTTCACCATGTTGACCAGGATGGTCTCGATCTCTTGACCTCGTGATCCACCCGCCTCGGCCTCCCAAAGTGCTGGGATTACAGGCGTGAGCCACCGGGCCCGGCCTGAGAGGTTCTTTGAGAGCACAATCCCTGTCCTGTCTCTCTGCATTCTGGAACGTCCATGGACAGTCTCAGAGTAGCTTTTCCAGGTGGCAAAGCGGAAATTATTCTTGGAACTGCTGCAGAGAGGAATTTAGGGCTTGATTCTTTCCTGGTTGGGGTAAGGGGTGGGGGTGGCAGGGATTGTGTCCTGCGCAGCCCCGAGGCCCTTCTAAGGCAGCTGATATACTCACCGCCTGCTCTTCTATCTTCCTTCCACCCCTTCTCCTTTCTTTCTCCTTCTTCTCTTCCTTGTTTATTCCTTTGCCAAGTCATTGAGGTTTTCATGCTGGGAATAGGAGTTCAGGAATCTTTCTCTGTGTTCATTCATTCATTAGTTTAAAAAAAAAAAGTGTGAAGTGTCACTGTGCCAGGCCAGGCTTTGTGTATGTTACTCCTATTCCAGTTTCACGGATCAGGAGATATGCCACAATCCACACAGAGGCCCAGACAACTCTCAAGCCAGTGTGCCGAGCCGACCTCGAGGCATGACTCCCATGGTCACATGGAGCTCCTTCCTCTGTCTCCCTCAGGAGGTGGGTGAAGCCTGGCCCCACTCCAGTCTTGGGGTTGTCATCTTTCAGGCACATTGGGTTCCTCAGGTTCCTGTTTGCAGGCTGCAGTGATGGATGCATTACTGTATGTGGCTACAGAGACCAGGAGGCCAGCCCCAGGAGGACCCTGGAGGTTTGCCCGCTGCTGGCCACCGGATGAAACTTAACAGCCAGAGATGGCTGAAGCAGCCCAGAAACTCTGCCCAGGAGCCGGGCGTCATAGGAATTCTGCAGCCTACTGTGTGGAACTTCACCCCATTTCCCTGGGTCCTCTGCCCAGGTCTGGGTTCTCTGTCCAGGCCTCGGTCCTCTGCCACTATCTGCTCACTTGTGAGGGGCCCCGGAGCCTGCCATAGCCAGGGACATGGACCTGTGGAGACAAATGAAGCACTTGCTCATCACAGAAGCAGGTGGTAGTTCAGTGAAGCAATGTAAACATATAGCCAAAGCAATCTAAATTTGTGCTAAGAAATCCCAGCATTCAGGCCAGGCTCAGTGGCTTGTGCCTATTATCCCAGCACTTTGGGAGGCTGAGGTGGGCAAATCACCTGAAGTTAGGAACTTGAGACCAGCCTAGCCAACATGGTAAAAACCCATCTCTACAAAAAAACACAAAAATTAGCGAGGTGTTGTGATCCCAGCTACTTGGGAGGCTGAGGCAGGAGGATCACTTGAACCCAGGAGGCAAAGGTTGCAGTGAGCTGAGATTGTGCCACTGCCCTCCATCCTGGGCAACAGAACATGACTCCGTCTCAAAAGAAAGAAAAAAAAAAAAAAATTCCAGCATTCCCTTTGTGGTTTGAGAATCCTCCAAACTGACTAAACAGGGATTATTTTCTTTTGAATGTTTTTCTGGGAGTTTGTGTTAGATAATTATCTTCTATAGTGAAATACGATTTCAGCCTCTCCCATTCTCTCCTCCTTTTGCTCTAAGTGAAGCTTTTATGGAGTGTGTTTGTGTATGTCTAAAAAACAACGTCTGCAAGGATACAGTGGAATGTCAGGTTGGAATCCGTTCAAGTATTATGATACTACAAGTTTCTTTAACATTGTCATTTGACTGAGACCTAAAGTATTAATAGTTATTTTCTAACTAAATGAACAAAGAACTCACTTGGTTTTCTAATCATACAATGCAGTTCTTGAGAAGTTTTCTGGCTCTCTGCGGGATGTGGTATTGACTTAGCGTGTGTCACATGTCTTGCATAAAGTCGTCCTGAGCAAGGGTTGGAAAGGGAGACTTTTGTACCCTTCAGGAATGCTTTATGATTATTTTTTAATCATGTGCATGTATTATTGCTATAAGCACATTTTTAAACCCTAGTTTTTGATGACTAAAAGTAATGGGGTATTCTGGTTTGGATCCTGGAAAATAAAAAAGATGCTAGTGGGAAAACTGGTGAAATCTGAATTTAAAAAAACCGAATTCTACAAAACTAAAGCAGAGAATGCAGTGTAATACATCAGGAAAGATAAATTACTTCTCAGATGGGCCTGGTGGCTCACACCTGTAATTCCAGCACTTTGGGAGGTTGAAGCAGGCAGATCACCTGAAGTCAGGAGTTCGAGACCAGCTTGGCCAACATGGTGAAATTCCATCTCTACTAAAAATACAAAATTAGCCAGGTGTGGTGGCGCGTGCCTGCAATCCCAGCTACTTGGGAGGCTGAAGCAGGAGAATGACTTGAACCTGGGCACTGGAGGTTGCAGTGAGCCAAGATCGTGCCATTGCACTCCAGCCTGGGCAACAAGAGTGAATCTCTGTCTCAAAAAAAAGAAAAGAAAAGAAATTACTTCTCTATGCAAGTGGATTTTCCATTTCACTTGGGGTTTTCATTGACTAAGTTTGGAAAGATAGAAGCCATACTGGGTCTCTACAAAATCACTGCTGTGTATTATACTTCACTTAAAATTAAAATGACTTGCTACGTAGCTTTTCTTTGGTAGACACTTACAAATGCGTAAGTGGTTTTCACTGTATCCAAGTTCTAGATTCCTGACTCAGTTACCCCCTGAAGGCATACAATGGGTATGTATGGATCACATATCCATGTGTTAATTCTTCAGTATTCATTTTTTTCAGTAGGAAAATGAGAAGAGCCCTATCCTTGGCAATATAATTTTTAAAATAATTATTGCAAGTTATTTTCCCAAAACAGATACTCTGTGATATATAAAGCTCCATAAAGTGCTTTTTTTCTACGGAAGCACATCAGCTGACCAGCTCCAGCATAGCAAACTGAAGTTCAGGGTTAGCTGAAGACAGCAATCACTGCGATTAGGATCTGGAGTTCTCCCCCTCCAGCACCCGGGTGAGCTCGCCATTTTTGATTTGCGGAGAGCTTTTGGCCATTATTTACATTTAGTCTGTCAGTAACTTGAAATAGATACAAGGGCAGGCAAGGTGAAATAGAAGACAATCCTCAAAGATGCTTCCTGTATAATGGGGTAAGGCCACTAAACAAAAGAGGCAGTAGGGAAAGAAAAAACAAAACATGATTCTCTGGATCCAGGGCCTGCTCTACAGCAGCCCAGGCTGTGCAGGACGGGGCCACTCGGGGTCACTGTCCCGTTCTGCATCCTCAACATTTCCCACCACGGTTCCTGTCACTGAATCACCCAAATATCACAGAGGCATGTCTTTCCTCCCCAAGTGCTAAGTACCCACTTCCCCGGGATCTCTTTGTTGTTCAAGTCAGCCCCTCTCCACTGCCTAAGACCACTCGCGAGAGCCTGGGTATTTATTAAAGGGAAAACCAGGAAAAGGCAGCCGAGGGGAGTCGATGGCTCTGCTTCCACCTTGAGATCCGCAGCGCTATGTGCCCTTTGATCCTGGCCTCACTTTGATTTCCTCTCCTCTGGCTGCCCAGGCCTCCGCAGTTCCTGAAGTTTATTTCAGAACAGGTGGTTATAGCAGACTGAAAGACAACACCCCCCAAAAGGTATTAATGTGC